CGAATTCTGAAAAGGAGAGATATAGATATCTATCGATTTTTTGATTTTTCTTTTCTGATTTTATCACGAATTCTGAAAAAGATGAAGAGATACAGATATCTATCGATTTTTTTATTTTTTTGATTTTAACACGAAAGAATTCTGAAAGAGACTGAGAAGTATAGATATCGATTTTTTGTTTTTTTTTTTTTTTTTTCTAATTTTATCACGAATTCTGAAAAGGAGAGATATAGATATCTATCGATTTTTTGATTTTTCTTTTCTGATTTTAACGAGAGAGAATTTTGAAAAAGGCGGAGAGATATAGATATCTATCGATTTGGTTTTTCTTTTCTGATTTTAACACGAGAGAATTCTGAAAGAGATTGAAAAGTATAGATATCTATCGATTTTTTAATTTTACTTTTCTGATTTTAACACGAGAGAATTTTGAAAGAGACTGAAAAGTATAGATATAAATTTTTTGATTTTTCTTTTCTGATTTTAAGATGAGAGAATTCTGAAAAAGGCGGAGAGGTATAAATATCTATCGATTTGATTTTTTTTTCTGATTTTAACACGAGAGAATTCTGAAAAGGACATAAAGATATCTATCGATTTTAACGAGAGAATTCTGAAAAGGATTGAGAAATATAGATATCTATCGATTTTTTGATTTTTTTTTTTCTGATTTTAACACGAGAGAATTTTGAAAATTACGAAGAAATATCTATCGATTTGATTTTTCTTTTTTGATTTTAACACGAAAAAATTCTGAAAAGGATTGAGAAGTATAAATATCTATCGATTTGATTTTTCTTTTCTGATTTTAACACGAAAGAATTCTGAAAGGGACTGAAAAGTATAGATATCGATTTTTTGATTTTTCTTTTCTGATTTTAAGATGAGAGAATTCTGAAAGAGGCGGAGAGATTAAACTAGATAGAGAGCGTCGTAGAACGTATCCACAGTATTTCGTATCTCTGGTCTGATGTAATGTCCTCACCTTTGCAATAGATGTCCTTATCAGGACCTTCGCAGCAGTTGACCGAGTCTAATCTCTTGGAGCAGTTGGCACATTTAAAGCATTCCTTGTGCCATTGCTACGTGGGACACAAAGGGACACAGTGGTGTTAGTCACCGAGAGGAACCGCGTTCCGATTCTCACGTTCTATTACTCATAGTTATTCCCAATTTTTCCATTTTTCCTCGCAATTTCTCCTCTCTTCCCAAATCAGATTTCCAAATTGGATTTGTTCTGCTCGCTCTTACTTTTTTTCAAATAAATGTCTCCCGAGTAGACGGTAATAGAACTTGGTCATTTGTGAGTCGAGGAGAACAGATACAACAATAAAAGGAACAAAATCATCGTCTAAAAGGTATCTAAGATGGTATCTTTCGTTCTTTTCTCTAGACAGATCTAAGCGAAAGGCTAGAATCTAACGAAATTTGTATCGTGTGACAATTTACGGAACACTTTGCGCCAATGTGTTTACCACGGATCTCTGAACTATCTAACTAACTAACGTAAGGAATAGTAACTAAGAAGGAGACACTACAAAAGGATGAGACCATGGACAAGAGGATGACAAGAAATTAATTTAGAATAGACACGTATGGTGGATGATGATCGAGAGAGAGGAAAAGAAAAAAAAAAAAAAAGAAAGAGAGACGAGCAATAGAGTTTTGTTGGATTGCAAAAGATACCTCGACAATATATCTCGCGATCAGGACCATCGCAATGAAGCGTCGAGTCCAGAGACCGATGACAGGTTTTGCACTTGTAGCATTGCTTATGGTAAGCCTAATCACAAGAAGTAGGAATAACCATGATGATGTCCCGCAATCGGTCGTATATATCTTCT